GTTGGAAACTAGATGGGAAAAGAGTCAATGAGTGCCTTGGTTGGATTCTTCTGCCTCATTTATGACAGGAGAATTCAAGTGTGTCTCATGGACTGATGGGACACACTGGACCAAAAATAATTTGTTCTGGAGTGAAAGAGACCCTGGGATAGAATGTAAGCTATGCCCAAGCTGTAGTTCAGAAATCTGTAGTTCAGAAATTCAGAAATCCATCAACCTATTCATTCATCCATCCTTCTACCCATCCACCTGTCCATCCATCCATCATCCCTCCATCCATCTACCCATCCTTCATCCATCATCCATTCATTCATTCACCCATCCATCCAACCATCCACCTCTTACCTAGTCAATAAACATATTTTATTGAGCACCTACTGGGTGCTAAGTCCTAGAGCTACAAGTAGGAACACAGGAGAGATCCTGTTTTCAAGGAGTTCACAGCCTTCCATGTAAGACCCGGCAAACAAACCAGTGATCACAGTGTAATGTGATGAGAGCATGAGAGGGAGGCCAGAGACCTGTGAGGACACAGAGGAAGGTGGGGGCTGAAGGAAGGAAGCGAGGGTTTAAGCTGTGATCTGAGGAGGGTAGGAGTGGAAGGAAGTGCGGTGTGGGGGAGCAAGAGAGAGAGTTCCAGATAGGGGGAAGAGCTATACAAAGAGCCTGGCATTTTCAAGGAACTGAAAGAAGGTCCATGTGGCTAGAATAAAGTAATGGGGTAGATGGTGGGGCTGGAGGCAGAACTTGAGGCTGGAGTTGTCAATGAGAATCTGGACTTCATCCTGAGGGCAATGGGCAGGTATGGAAGGATTTTTGAGAGGGGAGAGCCTTGCTCAGTTTTGTGTTCTGGAAAGATCTCCAGGCTTCAGAGAGGAGGGTGGACTGGAGTGGCAAGCCCGGGAGCTGGGAGATGAGCGTGGGGCTGGAGTCCAGCAGGGAGTTGGAGATGGGGGGCCATGTGGATGGTGACAAGGGGATTGGTTAAGGACACATCCAGGTGGCCTGCTGAACAGGTCTTGCCCATTGACCATGGGGGGGGGGTCAAGGAGACGGACGACCTGTCAGGGAAGGTTGACTCATCAGTGAATACATCAGGCCCTTGGGACAGGGGAGTGGGAGGTATTTTGGGATTGGGGAATGGGGATCACATTTGGGATCTTCACATATCAGCCACCATGGGAAGGACAAAATGAATCTAGCTTCAGCTGTCAGAGGACAGAGCTCCATGGACAAAATGCTAGATCCTTACTGGGAGGCTCCAGGCAAGTCATTCTTCCTCCTGGAGCCTCAGCTGTCATGGGCTGCCACCTCAGTGACAATTGTCATGTGCAATTGGAAGATGACAGAGAGCTTCCATCCTAGCAACCTGGCCCCTGCTCAATGGTTTGGGGCTAAGTTCTTGGGGGTTTCGACAACAGCATCCCTGGTTCTGCCCCAGCCCACAGCAGAGCCAGAGGTGGGGCAGAAGAATTCCCTCCCTCCCTTTCAGGGTGAGCTACCCAGAATCCGGCTGGTTGCAGCCCCTCCGAGCTAAGGGGGGGGGGAACTTTGATCCTCTCTAGTCCAACAGGGGCTCCTTGTGGCCATGGTCTCGGGCCCTGGGGCAGCACGGGTGGCAGGTGCAAAGGCGGTGAGTCTGGCCAGCTTGAGTCAGAGGTGTTGAGACAGGCAGTCACTCTGGCCTCTCCCTTCCACTCAGGTCCAATTCCCCTTTAACTCTGTTGTCCTACTCGGCCTGCATCTAGCCTGCTTTCCCCACCTGTGACCTTGCCCTTCCTCCGGCGCCCTCTCCCCAGCCAGCCTCCATAGAACTCTGCCTCACCACTGCCTCCTCCAGGGAGCATTCCTGATTCCCCTGCCCGACCTCCGAGCCCTAGAGTCTGCCCAGCACCGTAAAGGTCTCTTGAGGCCCTTAGCATAGTCCCAGACTCCAGGACATCCCATCTGGAAGGTCCCCGGGAACCCATTTCATAGCTGGGAGAGCCGAGGAGGAATAAGCCAGTTAACCCCTGGCAAGGAAACCACCTCAAAAATGTCCCTGGTCTGTGTTGTCTCCAAAGTGAGGTACTCTCTGCGGCTCCTCCCCAGGCTCTGGGTCCAGCTCACCTCCTTGTCCTTGTCCTTTGTTCATGGTCAAGAGTGGGCTGTGCGCAGGCGCTGGGATACACGCGGTGGCGGACGTGCCCCTGTCGTCACAGCGTTTACGGTCTGCACGTCACATCGGGACCGTGCCCGCACCCCCCCACCCCAGAACTCTGGGCTGCTTCTCTCACTTATCTCTGCACATTCCCTCCTTTGCACCGTGCTAGGCGCTTCCCTCCTGTGAAATGCCCACCCCTCCTTCTTCTGGTGTGAATCCTCCCAGCCACAAGGCCCAGTTCGCTGACCGCTGCCTCCAGGAAGCCCTCCAAGGTCTCTCAGCAAGAAGCAACCTCTCCCTGCTCTGGGCCCACAGCCTTTTCTGTCGCGTGCACATTCCTATGTTGGGCCTGGCCTTGTTCCCCTCCCTCCACAGCCCCGGGCAGAGTACCTGACACACAGCAGGTGCCCACTGACATGTTTGCTGCTCTGTGCCCTCCCTTGCCAGGCATCCTGCACCAGGCCAGAGTTAGTCCAGAACCTTCTGCTCCTGCTGTCACAACCAATTCCCTAGAAGGGATAGGGGAATTTGGGTCCTTCTGGAGAAAAGTTCTGAGTTGGTGGCAGAAGAAGGGGGGGGGGGAGACTCAAGCCCCAGTCAGGGAGTTTCCCCAGCGGTGGGGGCTGGGCAGCCTCGTTGGTAATACAGTTGTTAATCATCGTTCTCACAGCCCCGCCTTGTCCAACACAGGAGAGCAATCCATGGCCCCTGTGGCAGGTGGAGAAGCCACTGGGCAGAGAGCCTGAAGGACGGAGAGGGTCAGGAGATACTCCACCCACAAGGGGCAGCATCGGCAGAGAAATCCTCTGCCCCTCCTGGGACCCAGGCCCTCCCCAACCACCTCGGGGTGTTTGCATCTCCTCTGAGCCCAGGTCTTCCCCAGGCCAGAGTGGTCTTCTCCCAGGCAGGCTCACGAGGGCACCAGCACCCCTTCCCCAGTCCAGGCTGGCCTCCTCTGACTCCTCAGGATGGGGCCTGCTCGGTGCTTCTCTGTTTGGGGTGGAGGTTGTCCCCACTTTGTGCAGGAAGCTGGGTGCCCAAGATGAGCACAGGCAGGAAGACCCTACTCCCCTCCCATCCCCTCTGCTGCACATGCAAATTGCAGCCTGTCCCAGAGACAGGAAGAATGGCCCAGCCAAACAGGCTGGGGGCAAAAAACCCCCCTGGCTGTGGCTTGAGGAGTGGGGGACATGACCCTAAGAGAAGCAAGGAAATGCTGGTGTGAGAGCCACTGAGAGGACCAAGCTATGTCAGATCTGCCGTTTTGGTGGGGCCCCCTGGGACAGTCCAAACATCCCTCTACTAGTGATGACGTGAGGCCCAGAGAGGGTCTGTGCGTTGCCCAAAGGCACACAGCAAGACGGTGACAGACGATCCTGCCCAGGGGACGCCCTGCCGTGGACAGGGCACTCCCCTGGCCAGGACGAGAAGGGGACCCAGCCTGCCAAGGTGGCCCTGGGGGGGGGGGGAGGAGGAGGAGCCCTGCGAGGACTGGCGGGTGACAGTCTGAGCACCACCCCTCCCCCCATCGGGGTGGCTTTCCACAGACAGCACCTGCTGTGGTCACCATCCCTGCTGATGAAGTTGTAACAATGGTCCCAGGTTGACAGAGCCGGCTGTGGCGAGAGGAACACGTGCATCCCATGGCGCAGGCCCGGGTGTCATCTGAGCGGCTCCTGGCCACTCGGGGACAGAGCAGAGCTGGGCCCGGGTCCCACCTGTCAGAACCAGGGTCCGGGGTCACCCTGCTGAGATGCTGCCACCTGGAAGCGGGCATGGGAAGGGCCCAGGGCCCGGATGACTTTGGTTGTGGGTGCTTCTCCAAGCTGGGCCCTGAACCACAGGAGACCAGAGCCTGACAGGTTTTAATCACCATTTAGTCCAAATGGGCCACAGCATCCCTGCATCGGGCCCTTCTCCCTCCTGGGGAAGGGACTCCTAACACCCGGCCCAGGGAAGCCCGGAGCAGACCATTGGCCATTTTCTCTGGTGGCCAGGGGAGGGGCCCGATGCAGGGATGCTGTGGCCCATGGTGCATGGAAAGTCTGCTCACGGCTCACGTTGGACCCTGACCACATGTCCACTGCAGACTGGGCCCTCACAGATCGCTGCCACCCGGGGTGAGGGGCCCCATGTTGGGTAGCTGGGCTTCCCGATCCATAGAGGGGCTAATTTGGACTAAATGGTGATTAAAACCTGTCAGGCTCTGGTCTCCTGTGGTTCAGGGCCCAGCTTGGGGAAGCACCCACAACCAAAGTCATCTGGGCCCTGGGCCTTTCTCAGAATGAGTGGAGCTGGGGTACGCCCTGAAAGACGCCCTGTGCCCATGCAGCCTGCTGAGCCCCCACCCCCACCCCGGAGGCCCGCCTGGAGCCCGGGAGCTCCTCCAGGCCCAGGCTAGGCAGCCCCTCGTGGCTCCTCTCTTGCCGTCCCCTTCCCCCTCCACACATACAGGACACAATGCTCGAAGGAGGCTCACTAGCCTCAGGGCAGAGGCCAACCCGGTTTAGGATAGAGGCTTTTCAGTTCTGCTTAATAGAGGAACCAAGAAATGTCCCTGTGAAAGGAGAAGTATGTCACTGTCATGGCCCCCGGACACACATACCCCACCTCTGTCCCCGACGGAGTGTCCATTCTCTGGAAAGCCACAAACATTCCAAGATTCGACTTGTGCTGAATCATCTCAAAATCTTCAGACTCCACTGGTGTAGTGAAGAATGTCTGGGGGAGGTGACAGGAGGTGGGGCAAGATCCCCAAAGAGGTTAAATAGGTCACCTCCATACTTGGCTGCCATCCTCACCTCCCCCCGAGCAGAAGGACCTACACTCACAGGTCCTCTCCTGGGCTCCTGGCACCATGACTCCCCTGAAGATGCTGCTCCTGGTCATGCTCCTCCTGGGGGCTTCTCTGCAGGTCACCCACGCAGGTGAGAGCCGAGGAGAGGTGGCCTGGGTCAGGAGGGGCAGGGGCACCAAGATCATGGCTGCAGTGCCCACTGTTTATGCATTAGTGACAGCCCAGCTATTCCTCCAGGGACGGGGAGGCTGGCAGCAGTAGGATTTTGAGGGAGGCGTTCAAAGGAAAAGGGTGAGGCATAGGGAGGATGCCACCCCAGAGCTTGTGGATCGGCTCAGTGAGGAGCAAAGTGCTGGCCCGTCTCTCTCTGCAGTGACTGAGAGCCAATGACCTGGGTTGGGTTTTGACAGCGGACCATGACCTATACTCGGAAGCATTGGTTAGCGGCTGTTTTATTCCCGGGTCTTTCTCGACACTGAGGGCATCAGCAGGAAGGCAGGAGCGCCGGTTCCCAGAGCACGTGAAGGGAGAGCTGTCTATCCGCAGGCGGAAGAGAAAGGCCGAAATAAGACAGCCAAGGTGGGAACACGGCTGTAGCGCCCCACTTGGCCACAGCGCCACAGCCGTCACCCGTGGCTCTCACTTCTGTAAAACGCAGGTCAGGGTAGCTCTGTGAGTTAGTCCAACCCAATTATACCCCCGAGATGGCCGGAGGACAGTTGGGGGCTTCTTAGAAAACACTCGAGCGTAGCATTGATTAAAGCCACGCATCACCGGTTTGCCGATTTGCAAATGTTGGAAACTTTTTCTTGTGCAAAGAGAAGGAAGCTGAGGCCCAGGAAAGTGTTTTTGCACCTTGGGCTTCCATGTAATCATCTGTAAAATGGGGTAGTGGTAGTACCTGTCTCTGGGTGCACCGTGAGGGCTGAATGATCTCCTGCAGGCAGAGGCTCAGCCCAGAGCCTGGCCCAGAGGAAATTCTTGGGTGGTTCCGGGCTGGTATTTGAGTGTGTGCACACACAGATGCACACACATGCAGACACACATAGCCACACATAGACACACACCAATATATACACACAGACTCCTCCAAACACACACAGAGATGTGTGCACACACATACAAACACTCAGGGTCCCCCAGAGCACACAGGAGACCTCACACACACAAGTGTGTCCACACACAGATGCACACACAGACACACACAGACACAAACAGGCAAAGACACACAGAGAGACCTGTGCACACAAACCCTCCCAAACACCCGCACATATATGCACAGAGAGACCTACAAGCCCACAGGGATCCCCAAAGGGCAGACTCCTCAGGTACACAAATGTGCACATACGGACACACACAGACGCTCACAAGACACTCCCCTCTGAGAGACTCCCAAACACACACACGGACCCACTGTGATCACACACACACACACACACACACACACACACACACAAAGTCGCTCACAGACACACCCGCTCCTGCCTCCTTTCTCCATAGTGCAAGGGACCAATGTGGGCCGGGAGTGCTGCCTCGAGTACTTCAAAGGAGCCGTTCCTCTCAAAAGGCTGAAAATGTGGTACAAGACCTCAAGGGACTGTCCCAAGAAAGCCATTGTGTAAGTGTGCCCGGCCCCCTCCCCTTTCCCCCTAGCTGTGCTCCTAGGAGCTGAGTCTGGGAGAAGGTGGCCCCTAGAGCTCCCAGAAGGGCCACTGGGGAGAGGAGAGAGTGGGGACTTCGTGGCCCCCTTCCCACCCCGACCCTGCTCCTCACAGCAGCTCCTGCACCCCACTCTGTGAGTCCCAAAAGGCCCCAGGCCATGAGGTTCAACCTCTTCACCGATTTATGGGGAAACTGAGGCCCCGAGAGACAGGGCAGCCTCATGTCACACCGGCACTCAGAGTGACCGCTGTGGTCACTTCCCACAGCTTGGACCTGAGCTGGGCGCCTCCTGGGCACCCCTAGTTCCTAGGCTTTCGATGGAAGTGAGCGAGCTGAAGTGGGGGGGCAGAACGTCCTGCAGTCCTGGCTCCCTGGGAAGGACTGGCAGGGACCTTGGGAGTCAAGACCACTGCCGGCAAGCCTGATGTCCCAGATCTGTCACCGAGGTGCTGTGTGTGACTCCAGGTGCTCCTCTTGGGGCCTCAGGGTCCTGGTCAGTGCAGAGCAAGGCTGATCCCAGGGCTCCGGAAGGCCTTCTTGCCCTGACACCTGCTGACGGGTTCCTCTCTCTCGTGTAGGCTTGTAACTGTCCACAACAAGTCCATCTGTTCAGACCCCAAGGACACGAAGGTGAAGAAGGCAGTCAGATATTTAAAAAGCATGCGGCACCCTGGGCTCCAAGAATCCTGATTTCTGCCTGGACCATTTGGAGACCTCCAGCCTCAGTGTTCACTACCCCAACCCCGAGCTGCCTGAGTCCAGGGGAGGTCCTACAAGGACAAAGGGGACCCTGCCCCCTTTTCTGGACTGGAACCATAGCAGAAAGAGCCCAGATTAAAGTCTCTCCTTCGTGGATACCTGGGTGGCTCAGTCGGTTAGGCGTCTGCCTTCGGCTCAGGTCATGATCCCGGGGTCCTGGGATCGAGCCCCACATCGGGCTCCCTGCTCAGTGCGGAGTCTGCTTCTCCCTCTGCCACTGCCTCTGCCTCTTCCCTCTGCTCGTGCTCTCTCAAATAAATAAATAAATAAATAAAATCTTAAAAAAAAAAAAAGAAAAAGTCTCTCTCTTCATACCTTAGTCTGGGTCAGTGTGTTCTGGCCACCCAGTCTGTCACACTGGAAGAACATCTGGTCCTGCCCCGTCCAGGCCAGAAAGGGAAACTTGAGGCTGAGAGGGGGACATGGCCACTGCAGACCACACATGAGGGGTGAGAGACAGTCCTGGTGAGAGAGGCCCAGGCCGGGGAGCTGGCGGTGTCCGAGGGATGAGCGCAGTCTCCAGGAGGCCTTCCCCAAGAAGCTGCCCCTCGGGTTCTCTCTCTTGCTCTGATTCCTCCTGCTCTTAGAGACCAGAGGGCAGCCCGCTGTGATGGGGTTGTTCTCCCAGATGACCACTGTGCGGGTCTGTCAGTCCTGGCTCCTCCGTTAGAGGGGAGCTCCATGAACCACCCTGAGCGCCCCACAGCCTAAGTGCTAAGAAGGATGGGGGATGGGGAGGTGATGAACTCCCTACCCCCAGACGGCTCTGAGCCAGCCCAAGTCAGGGCCCGAGCCATAGTGTGCTAGGTGTGGGGGAAACAGGGTTTTGGGGTTTTAGTTCTGTCCCACTCTCCTGACCAGCCAAGGCCTCATGGCTTCTCTCTCTGGGATGCACTCTGGGGGCAGGGGCAGAGGGTCCTTCTCTTCCTAGGATTCTGTGATCCGCACTGAGGGCTGCCAATTTTGCGTTATTTTCAGCTGTTTTGCCTCCTGTTGCCCCCTTGTGGTCAGTCGTCTTATTGCAGGCCAGATGACGGACCCAAGCCCACTTTCTAGTAGGAGCAGGAGTAACACAGGACAAACAACAATCATAATGAGGCTGATGATGGTGAACTGGCTTCTTTGTGAACCCAGGGTCTCCTCGACCATAGGTGGGCTCTTCCCCGGCCCTGATCCCGAGGAGAATCCCTCCAACAACTACTGCCTTGGACCCGGAATCCTGGGGGCAGCTCTGTCTGAGGTCTTCTGGATCCACGGGGAGGGGCCGGCTGGGGAGTGGAGGAAAAAACAATCTCCAAATAGAGGGAGGCAAGAAGGAGCTCCTGTGACAGCAGGGGGAGAACAAGGGCTGGGGTCCAGATCCCTCACCTTTGCAGTCTGGAGCTTAAAGACACTCGAGAGGACGCCAATTTTATTCATGTGCAAAGCATTTTAAAAGCAGCAAAACCTTTTTGTCTGAGTGAAATCGTCCTCAGAGGCCCGTCTGTAAGCTCAGAGGAGTTCAGCTTCGTGGAGAACTGTGAGGATGTTTAACAGCACGATCAGGTTGTAGGGGGGCGGGGTGGGGGGACAAGATGCAGGAGATGGGAGCGGCCACCACGTCCCTCCAAAAAGGGGCCATCTGAAGGAATCGCGACTGGGGGACTCCCCTGAGAGGCGAGAAAGATGACTGGGCAGGGACCAGAGAACAGAGAACATTGTCCCTCCCACCTGGAAAGGGCGTCCCCTCCTTCGACTGAAATCCAGACCCCCTTCGGAGCTCAGCTTGGCTGCACCGACCCTCCGCCAGCTCCCCCCTCCGGCCTCAGCCTCACCTCTACCACACTCTGCCCCCTTTACTATACTTACTGCACCTTTGTCTCACTGGTGAGCTCATGGGGGGCTGGTATTGGGGTGAGGCGACTCAGTACCTGACCCATTTATAAGGGGGGGGAGCGGTGCTTTGTGCATAGTGGACATGTGATTTACACATCTACATCAACCAGCCCCCGGCTGAACTCCACGAGGGGCACGAACAGAGAAAGAGAAATCCCGGAGGAGCCGATGCCGTGAAAACCGGGCTTCAAGCTTGGTCTTGAAGTGGAATTTAGAACTGAGTTGCTCTGCGCTTGGCCACCAGAGGGCGCGTCGCCCCGCCCCGCCCCGCCCCGCCCCGCCCCGCCCCGCCAGATAAAGATCAAGCGGGAGGTGCCTGACCGCCGAGGCGCCCCGCCTCCTCCGCGCGGTCCCCGGGGGCCGGGTCACCCACTTCCGATGGTGGCTGCTCGGGGCTCCGGATCTGGGTGTCTGCCCTTCTCCTGGGGGAGCAGAGGCCCGGAAACCACCAACACTCTGCCTGGGGTTAGCGGGATGAAGAGGAAGAAGCAAAAAACTGGGACGTACAGGGCGGCTCATTCCAGCCGCGACGTGGCCAGCGCCCGGAGCAGCGCGCCAGGGCTCTTCACGCTGTGTTCTCTTAGATTCCGTATTTGCCTCTTTGGCCTCCGGTCCTGACAGGGCTGAAGTCATGGCCGAAGCTAGTTACACCTCCCCTGCGTTCCAGCTTTGGAAGGCACGCGAAAATCACACGGCAGACTCTCCAACCAACCTGGAGCTCATTCCCCTAAAGGCCTCCTTTCTGTACGTCACACCGCAGACCACTGTGTCCCCTGCCCCAGATCACCCGGGGCCGGGGACCAGACCACTAGGGACGGCCCCCTGTCCGAAGCCTGTCGGAATTATTCACCGTAGCCCACCCTCAGGAGTTTCCCCTGCCCGGCGGTGCTTTTCCCACGCGGACCCCAATAAAAACTGCGACCTCTCTGTTCTCTCCTCTGCCCCAAGTGGTGGCCCACGGCTCCTTCTCTTGGGAAGTGTCAGTAGTCCGACTAGCACTGACCTCTCTCTGTCAACGCAGTCTCCTACATAAACTAAAACCCCACAGGTACATTTTCACACAGAGGTCAGGGACCTGCCCTTTATCTGCTCTGGTCCTGACTGGCTGTGGGGTCTTGACACAATCACTCCATCTTCCTGGGCCTGTTTCTCCCTTAAAATGATGAAATCGGACCCTTCTCTGATGGGCTTGAGGATGTGCCCAGTCAAGAGAATGAGGGCTTATAGTCTGCTGCTTTTCCGCTCCCACATTGCCCGTAGGGGATCAGAGTCTGAGAAAACCTGCAGTTTCCTCCTCACTGAACCAACATTTTATTGATTTGTAAAACCTGCCTATTAATCAAGACTAATTACTTGTCTCTCATATATGTAATAAATATGTTTCCCTAGTTTATTAGGTTTTAGCCCTTGCCCATCCCTCCACCTTTAGATCGAAGTGTTTACTAGTTCTATAATAAAACTTTTTGATCATGAAAAAAGGGGGGGGCATGCTCAGTGCATATATGCCCATGTTCATAGCAGCACTCTCCTCCATAGCCAAGAGATGGAAGCGGCCCAGATGTCCATCAGGGGATGCGTGGATACACAGTGGCGTGTACATACAATGGAATATTATTCAGCCACAGAAAGGAGTGAGTACTGATAGGTGTTACAGGGGGATGAACTTTGAACACACGCCAAGAGAAGCCACACACAGAAGGTCACCCACTGTATGAGTCCATTCATATGAAATGCCCAGAACAGGGGCCCGTCCCCAGAGACAGACTGCAGATGGGTGTTGCCGGGCGCAGGGGGGATGGGGGAGAAAGCCCAGATGTTGGACAGGCACAGGGCTGCCTTTGGGGGTGATGGAAACGTTTGGGACTAGACAGAAGTGATAGTTGCACAACATTGTGGGTGCACTGTTCCCATTAAAATGGTTCGCTTTATGTTATGTCGATTTGACTTCAAAAAAAGGGGGGGCAAGCTTCACATAAGCCCTTTTCTGCAGAGAAACTCTATAGAAGCAGCATGGGGGTGCCGGGCATCACCTTCAGGAGAGAGAACCCCTCTGGGGAGCGCAGAGAAGGAACGAGGCCACACAGCTGTAACGCTTCAGGTACTGAAGAACGGAGTTGATCTGAATGAAAAACAACGAATCCAGCTGTGTTACAGGGTATCTCCCCCTATTTGAAGACTGGCCTAAGGTACAAGACAAAATGTTTAAGGGAAGGTCGACGAAGAGAGAAGGGAGAAAGGGAGGGACTTAGCGCCTCGGAGCCCCGCTGAGCCTAACCCGGCTTCCGGGTTGTTGCAGGGCTTCCTCACAGGTGTAGCCGCGGGCGGTGTGACCGGTGAGCGGCCCGCACCCGCCCCGCCCGGAAGCGAGGCCGCCCGGGGCTGCGTGGAGCCTCGCGTCCCTCGCCCGCGGTCCCGCCGGGGTGGGGGGGCGCGCGCCCCGCGTCCCCGCCAGCTCTGTCACTGGGGCCGGGACAGCCGCGGAAGCAAGGACAGACTGAGGGCACCGAGAAGACAGCACAAGCACAAACCAGCAACTTTTCAAGACCACAAAAACCTTCATTGCGGTTGTGTAACGGAGAGCGCCACCTTGTTTCAGAGGTAAGGGAATTGAGATCGCGCCGCCCGCCGCCCGCACAGGTCCAGGGGCCGCAGCTAAGAAAACGCTTATTTTTTAAAAAAGATTTTATTTGTTTGTTTATTTATTTAGAGCGCACGAGCACAAGCAGGGGGAGGGGCAGAGGGAGAGAGAGAAAATCTAGCGGACTCCCCGCCGAGCGCGGAGCCGGACGCGGGGCTCGGTTCCACGACCCCGAGGTCAGGACCTGAGCCGAGATCAAGTGACCCACGCTCCACTGACTGAGCCACCCATGCACCCCGGAAAACAGTTATTTTTAGAATTGAACGTTCTGTGCCACTTTTGCCTTCAACGTAGAGACCCACTCTTGCTTGCTTTCTGGAAACTTCCTGGAATTGTCTCTTTCCATGAAGATTCTGGGATACTGTGTTTCTTTTACCTTCTCTGATGAATCGTTGTCTCGCTGCTCCTTTTTCCCTCT